TATCTGTTTGAATTTATATAGCATTAGCTGACCTCACTTAGGTGAGGAGGAGAGAATAAAAATATAAAAAATATTCTGCTGAGAAGAAAATTCATTTGGTGAGGTTTTGTCCCTATTTATCAGCCTTTTGCTTGTCCCAAAGAAAACTTTAGCCCAGCCAAGAGGATTCCCAAGTTATCAGAGGATTGCCAACTCCTCCTCCTCAACTTCATTGGACCTGAATTACAGGTCCTATGAAGTTGAGGAGGAGGAGTTGGACTTACTTCACACTTCTTGAGTTTGGAAGTCTTCCAGAGGCCCTAAGGTAGCCCTCGTGAGCTAATTTCCAGATGGCTACCACTGATCAGCTAGATCCACAAGCAGATAATGGAAAATGTCCATCTTTTGGAACTGGTCTTAGTTCCAAAGTCCACAGGAGAACTGTGGCTTCATAAAGCACACTAAACAGATGCAGCCAAAGTTTTATTGAAAGGGGCCTCTTATCTTCCTAGATGGGCTGTTGAAGGTTCCATCTAATGTAAAACTTTTAAGATAGAACCATGTGCAGCCCAATGCTGCCGGAAAAAGGTGATTCTTTTTCTTTCTCTGCATTTTTCCTGCTTCAATTCAAATTTTATTCAATTTCCAAGCAAATGGGGAAAAAGTACAAATGCATGTATGTGCGCATTCAAAGTATCTTTATGTCTTCTCCTTCAATGGATGAACACTGGGTAAAATGAAACACTGTGTAAAGTGAATCATTTCTTAAACTTCCTACTTTCCCTGAAGTTTTTGAACTTTTGCTTCATCTTTCTCTTATTGAACCAAATACGTAATTCACAGAATCTTTTCTCTTTTTCTGAATTGAGCAAGAGCTACATTCTCATAACTTTTAACTCTTTATTTTATTCCTTTGTTTGCAATAGATTAAAATATACTCCTGTTGCGATATACTCTTGTCAGTATATCATTAGACTAAAATACTATTTAGTAAGGTGTATTCATTGATTATTAAATATGCGTTCATTTCAAAACTTCAAGAAAGATAATCACTTTTAATAAACTGTGTGCCACAATAAAATTGATGCTGTGAAAGGCCCTAGATCACAATAGTGTACACTGTTCATATACTTATATTAAAGTAGCTAATAAATATATTGCAATAAGGTTTTAATCAAAATTATCAAGTGAAATCAAAACTGGACATACTAAAAAAAATTGAGATATGCACACAACACTACATTGACTTAAATAAAGAAGACTGAACTCATCTGGAAGGTAAAAATGAAAAGTCAAATATCTATGTTAATGGTAAACATTAAGAAAACTTAATATTTAAAATAATATGTAAACTAATTTTTACATGAATGAGCATTACAGATTTGGAAATTGTAACTAACAATAGAGGTAGCTCTCAAATTACAATCACAATTGAGATCAAAAAATATTGTTATGAGCACAGAATTCTGGCAAAATATCAATGAGTCTCCGGAGAAGGGCGGCATATAAATCAAATTAAAAAAATATATATATATCAATGAACAGATACCAACTCCAGAATGAATAAAATCCATTGGAGCGCTAATGAAGAAAACAATCATTCAGCAAGTTTATAGTAGGCCCATGGACACTCATTACAATATAATCTGACTGGCATTGTGTGGTGTGGTTCAATCTAGGAATTTAACCACTGGAGTTTTAAAGTGTTTTTATCTCTTAAGGTTATATGTCAAACAAAATCACTATGGCTTTCCCAGCAAACCAATCTATCGTACACATTTATAAGAACTATAGGGATATAGGATCAAATTTCCAATACAAATACATTTTCTTTCCTTGCAGTTCAGTCCCAACTATGCCAAATTCAAATTCAGAGTAATTGCCAGTGGGATTTATTTCCACATTAAGCAGAAATCTTCATCAAAGTCAGGCATATCTAGAAGGTTGTGGTTTTTATGCTTATATATACTTACCGACATAGAATTAAGTTAAAAGTATGCTTAGATTTTCAGAATTAAAACTCCAGCCCTGAGAGACCAAGTGGATGAAACATTCAAGCATGCCCACATTTTAAAATTCTTTTAAAAACAGTGGCATGGGAAAAATCTACAAATTTTACAAGGACTTCTGCCATGTGTATTTGTGTTGAAGGTACCTTTTTTCTGAGCTGTTTTTCCAGACGTACAAATGCACAAGGCTGCTATTCATCTACTGAAGAAAATGTTGCATCTCAAAATGCAAGGATAAGAAACTGCACCTACTTGATATATGACCTAATGCTATAGTAGAATACCGAGAATGCTTCCTCCTTCCCCCGCTGGAATTACATTACATTATCCCAGCAAAAATTTCAGGGTAGTTTAAAATCATTCCTTCCTTTGCATTTGATCGACCTATTTTTCATACCTACTACATTTTTATTTATATATTTATATAGAACACATGACTTGCGCCTGACATACATATCATTTGCAGCAGCTTGCTCTTTAAACTGTGAACTTGCTGCAGCAAATATTTATATTTGCCTTTATCTAGCAAACTGAACATTTTAGTGCAAGAAAGCACCTTGAGTATGCAGATAATGAACATTGGCCATCTTATCGCAACCATTTATAGAAGGGTGTACAGAGTTCATAAGGATATTAAATGTAGTCAGTTGCAACTCTACACCAGCTAATACTCAAAAAAATTCTAGTAATGCTGCCTACTAATGTTGCCTTTGACTTTGTCCACATTCAATAATTTAGGCCCAGGTTACTAAACATCTCTGTCCTTATCTACATGTTTTCCCAGTTTCTGGGGAAGGATTTAAAACACCTGCACAGCAGAAATAAAAGAATTAAAGATAATCAGGAGTAATGTATTTTTGATGTATCATCAAATAAGCTTTTATGAACTAAACTTTAATTCCGATTGTCCTATATAGATTGTCCTCAACTTAACAAACATAATTGAATTTGAAACTTTATTATTAAGTGATAGGTTCAGTGAGTGAGTTGCTTTTATTACCTGTTTGCTGCAATTGTTAAGCAAATCACTATCACACTGTTTTTAAGCAAATCCAGTTTTACTCATTGGCTGTACTTTTCAGAATCCCCCAGGGAAGGTCATAAAATGATGATCATTTGACCCTGGGATACTAGAAGCACATTGTAAATTACATGCCAGTTGCCAGACACCCAAATTTTGAGCATGTAGGTGCAGGGTCAGTTGTAATTGGAAGTTGTAACTGCAAGAACTGGTCTAAATTGCTTTTTTGTGTGTGTGCCATTGCAACAAGTGTCAAACAAGTAGTCCTAAAATGAGGGCTACTTGGATAACTTAATGTACTTGTTTCATACTTAAGTCATACAGAAAATATTCAGTCATTAGCTGTCTGAATTAGCTCTTCCTTTAACTCTTTCTGAATATCTCATCATTCAAATTAAATGAATAAAGCCAGATTCTAGAATGACAGAAGAAAAATATAACCTATTCTTCCTATAAATGTCTGATTTTACATGCATGTCTTTTTCCCTTATCTATTTTTGCATCACAGTCTTTTTGCTAAGAGTCACAGATGTTGAGATATATTGTTACATAATCCTTGATACTCCAGATTTTTTGATGCACAGAATTTAAATAGAATTGTTGTTTAACTAGATAAACATCTAGATAGAATCACACAGATGTTTTACAAGTTGAAATCTTTATTATCTTGAAAGGAAATTCCAGTGACCTGGAGATGTTATTTCTGAAAAAGCTCTCTATTTTTCTGCATATATTACCATGATACTTCTTTTAAAAAAAGATAAGCATGTGGCTTTTCAGTTCAAGGCAAATATATAATAATCCAATAAAAATGTAATTCACTACATGGAACACACACACAAAATCAGATAACCATTGGGTTGCCTTATTCTTCGTCCTAATGTCTCTGTCTTTAGCACATACACAAAACTTTCAATAAAATATTATTTTCTCTCTAATGGACTCCATAGATGATGTCTAGTGAGGGCTGGGTTTCCAACCAGTAAAAGTACAATGTGCTAGAACAGTCTTTTAACCTACATGCTTCGGGTCTATTCTTTCCACAATGTCTCTGTTAATCCATACGATTATAAATAGGATATTGGGGAAAGTGAGTATAAAATTATATTCCCAAATTGGAAATCTATCAAAGCACGAGGAAATATTGGACTTATCAAGTGTAGATAACAGCTAGTATACTTCACCTGAAACCTTAGATGAAAGATATGCTTATACTTTCTGTGTATGAGCAGACTTTCTACTGGCATCATCATGGGAATCTCCTTCGTATAGTTAAGATTTATTTGGTTGTTATTTAAGATCTCTTTTATTGGGATTTTCTTTTTCTTTTGTTTATTTTCTTTTTATTATTTCTTTTTATTATATATTTCTTTTTATTATATATTATTTATTGTTGTTCTTTTAGTTTGTCATGGAATTGAAAAAGCAATTTAAAATATATATATACCCAATATATGAACATACATGTAGGGAATTCATTATAGTCTCCAAATATATGCATTGCATTAGAAGCCAGACTTTTCCAAACAAATACTTCAAAGACATATTGGTCTACAATACCTATCAATCTTAGACATAGGAAAGAAATAATGAATAATAGTGTTCAACTCATGCGGAAGGCAAAGAGCTGTACTAAATTTACTGTAACTCAAAATCAACCAAATCTTAGGCATGCATGGAACTACTTCAGTGAGAATTTTGCTTTCAGGGTAACCAATGTCTCTCCAGCAATCTTGCTCTAAATGCTAACATAAAATATTGTAAACTACAACGGGAAAGTGCTAATCGCCGCAAACTCTTCCACGACTTCGTTCAAAACCAAGTCGCCGGGCCGGGTGCATTTGCATATTTTTACCTTTGTCTCCGAAGATCAGCCAATGAGGGCCTTGGCTGCCTGCGGGCCTCCCCCACCCCCCGGACGTTTCTGAGCTGGCGCTGGCAGCTAGCTGGGAAAACGGGGTTTTGTGACTGCTGTTCGTGCAGTGCCGCCGTGGTCATTCTGGTTCTACCTCCCTTTTTATACTTCTAGCAAGGGAGGCAAAGGTTTGTTTTCCCTCCCTTGAAGGAAGAGGGGAATTATCCAGATCAGGGGACGCTGCGGCAGCAGCCACAACCGCAGGGGCACAATGGTTTGCGGCGGCTTCTCTTGTTCTAAGAATTGCCTCTGCGCGCTCAACCTGCTTTACACGGTAAGTCCAGCCGCCGCCCGCATTCTCGAACCAGGTGGCAACTGAATGGAAGCTTCCTGCAGTGGGGGGGGGGCGGGCGTGGGAGATCTTCTTGCCGCCGCCCCGAAGTGGCTGCTCTTTTCTTCCTGCTGAGCGAAAAAGCACCACGGCAGGCCTGTGGGAACCTCATAGTCCGCAGAGAGTAAGAAGCAGTAGTGACCGCCAGATATCCCGGAGAGAGTCGCCTCCGCTAAAAACGCTTCTCGCACGCTGCTGTAGCCCATTGGCAAAGGCGATGCACCTGCCGCGGTGAGAAAGAACCTCCACGAGGGACTGCGGGAACTCGAATCTGCTAGAAGCCCCTTTCCTGCAGGCTTTCTTCGGCGCCTAGGCAACGGGCTGTTCTGTTAAACCCCAGATTACGCGCTGGGAGCTCCACTGATTTGTACTTTAGGGTGACATATCACTTCGTCCAGCAGGATTGTCTGTCTCGAGGAACTGCCCAGAGGCGGTCGTTTAGTCTTTCTTCCTTTCCTGACAGAAATCCAACGGTGGGGAAATCTTCACCTGTGGAACGTCTTCCAATTCGGTATTAGTTAGCCATAGAGGCGGATTATTGCCTGTAGAAAAACAAAACTAGATAATTTGGCTAGTAAGACTAATTAGCTGAAATAATTATTACTTTTCATCTGTAAAAAGTTTGAGCCTTTTGGTTTTTTATATCCAACCCCCTCATGTCCGTGCTAACTCTAAATGACATTTGTTTAAATTGTGGAGTAATAATCCAAAAAAAAAATTATTTTAGGTTCTATAACTCTATAAAACCTGGACTTCCATCTGTGCATTTGCACTTGGAAATAAACTATCACTGAGTAGGGAGCCACAAAGTCCTACAACTGAAGCTTGTTGAAATAGGAGGTCAAATAACAAAGATTGCAGAATTGAGGCTGAGACTAGAGAGGACATCATTTGTTTTGTTTGCTTGTTTATTATTAAATTTATTCTCTGTCCACCTCGCTATTAAGCCATTCTGACCATGATATGAAATTGCAACTGGTTCCTGGTTATAGGCTGAGACTGATGGAAGCTGGAATTCAACAATATTCAGAGGGATTTGGGATTTCTAACTATGTTACCCCATTACAGGGGTGAAATCCAGCAAGTTCTGACAGGTTCTGGAGAACTAGTAGGAGAAATTTTGAGTAGTTCGGAGAACAGGCAAATACCACCTCTGGCTGGCCCCAGAGTGGGGTGGAGATTTTGCAGTATCCTTCCCATGCCACACCCACCAAGCCATATCACGCCCACCACACCACGCCCACAGAACTTGGTAGTAAAAAAATTAGGATTTCACCCCTGCCCTGTTTTCCCTAAAATAAGACATCCCCTGATAATAAGCCCAAATGGGCTTTTGAGTGTATGGCAATAAGGCCAAGCGCTTATTTCAGATTTCAAAAAAATATAAGAAAGGGTCTTATTTTCAGAGAAACACAGTATCTTATAGGATAACATTCTTTGTTTTTGTAGATTTAACTGCTCAAAAACTTTTCACACATTTTTAAGCAGGGATAGAGGAACTACTTTTTCCATGTTTTAATACTTTACATTGGGAAGTTATTAAAAAATTGACACAATGTGCTCAAAGATTTGCTTAAGCACTTTCCTAAATAAATCATGTCCTGTTAAGTCAAATGTACACAACTGAAGTCCCTGAGCAACTGCATCCAAAAACCTTGGGTATGCCTCAAATTTCTTCAAAAGTTGTTACCCAATTATTAAACACATAAGGAATCATCTATATATTTAAAAGCAAAATGCCACTCACCCATCATCACAAAATCTTCAGAACAGTAAAACCTACAAACTTGAAATTTACCACGTATGTTCCTCTTGGCTTCTAGGTGCTCATTAGAAAGGATTTTTGGAAATGACCATCAGAGCATTAGTATTTCCTATATTATTATTATTAACATGCTCTGATCCTAAGGAGTTCTAATCCCCCTCCCAACCTGAAAAGAAATCTGTTCCAAATGCAAAACACAAGCAGAGGAGTTTTAGTTTCAGTTTTACTTTCACAGAAGCAAGCAGGAGATAGAATAGGATAGGCTTCTGTGGCTTCTGCCTCAAGCTTGAGGCAGAGAAGGGATAGGAAAGGTGAGAATTCTGTAGGGCAAGCCTGAGGGAGAGAAGAGGTATAGTATAGGAGATATTTCTGTGGGGCAAAGTATAGGAGATATTTCTGTGGAGCAAAGCCTCTTGCTGCACAGAGGCTGAGGGAGAGGGGATAAGATAGGGGAGGCTTCTGTGGGGCAAGGCTGAGGGAGAGAAGGGGATAGGATAAGGGAGGCTTCTGTGGGGCAAGCCTGAGGGAGAGGAGGAGATAGGATAGGAGACGTTTCTGTGGGATAAGGCTGAGGGACTCAAGGGGTAGGATAGGGGAGGCTCCTGTGGGGCTAGGCTGAGGAAGAGAAGGGGGATAGGATAGGCTTCTATGGGGAAAGACTGAGGGAGAGAAGGGGAGAGTGGAGGCCAATCGTAACTATTCATTAATTTTCAAGCTGTAAGTGTCGATTTATCAGGCCCGATCACATAATTTCGTAGCAGAATACAGGTACTCAGCTAATATTAATTATAGTTAATTTTAATTACTACTGGGAAGCATAATTTTGGTACAGTATGGTCAGGCCACATGTTACTCTTAGCATGCACATCTCTACATTAGTTCCTGAATCATGATTTACAAGCAAATGGATGAATCTACGCTCTACATTTTGATATAGGGTCTTGAATGAACCCATTTAATAAATATCTAAACATTGTTTATTTACTACTAATTATTTTGACTACTTTATTTACTACTACTACTTTGCCTTGTTATATCTGTAGTTTTTCTTGGAAGCAGCTGGATGAGTATCACAGAAACCCAGATTGTAGATTAAGGTAAACTTCTAGATAGATTTGTTCTAGCAACATTCATAATCTATTCTGGATGCGTGTGAAACTTTAAGAGCAGTAAATTCTGACATCAGGAAATCCCTTTCCAGCCTCAGTCCCTTTCCATGGACAGCCACTTTGGTAAGACTAAAGTTAATTTGTTTTGACATTGGAGCAGTCTGAAATGGAACAGGACTTTTCAGGATCATGTTCTACGTGATATCACGTGATCCATGACTTTTGAACTACAGATTATCCCAAGAAACAGCTATTGCAATCTTATTTCGTTTTTTGTCTTAAATTAACTTTAAAAAGTTAGAATTCTCATTTTCAAACATTAGAAATGTGGTTACTATACTTTAACTTTGCATTAAATTATTAAGCTTTTAAAAATAGAAAGTTAAGTCATGCAGTAAATCAGAAAGCATTGCAACCTCTGACATCAGCACATAGATGAAAAACCATCATGTCTAGTCAAATCATGTGATTTAGGTCCCAGATAAGGAAGTAATGGAAAAGTATGTATCTTGCCACATCATACGTGAAGCATCCTGGATGCTGAATAATGGCTGTTTGGTTGACGGTTTAACTTACTCAAAGCCTGTGTTCCAGGTTAGTTTCAATATAGGCCTTCATATTCTTACATTTAAAAACCATAGAACCTGGGAAACCAGATTAAGCTGGCAAGACGACAAGGAATTACAGTGATGAAAGTTACTGGGGCTTGCAAACAACTACTGGGGCTTGCAAACAATTACTGGATCCTGTTGAAACTAAATATTTACATTGGATAGAATTCCAGAGTTTGAGAATGAGTGTTTTAATTTGCATAATGTATACCTTATCTTTTATTATAATTGCAGTATTGTGCAGCAGTGTTATCACATTCCTCTGTAATGGTCCAGCAAGTCAACTTTTAAAATAAATATTTGTTATTGACATCTTGTGCTTGAGTTTTTACAGCCTATAGCTACTTGTAAATGAGTTTAAACTGTTACTGAATTGCTTTCTTGCTTTTTACATCTTATCAAAGATTTTTTCCTGGTCAGGATTATGAATTCATTGAATACATTTCAACAGTTTGAATTGTACATAAATTAGACTAATAAAACTACAATAGAAAAGTAAAAATGGAAGTAATACTGTACATGTATCACTATAAATCTACCAACGGGATTAAGGCAAAATTTGAAAACTATTCAAAACATGGATATTGCAACAATTTTTGGGACTGGGACTGCTAGCACTAGAGAAGACATAGTGGTTGGGTTGATATATCAAATTCATCCCATTTGGCTGTTTGTAAACATCACATAATCCTGGGATTGTTGAAAGTGTACAATCAAAAAGCCAAATATTTATGAGAAAGTTTGTGTCCTTTTTTTCTGGATCAGTCACAATAAAGCATTACTGAATATTGCTTAAATTTACCAGCTTCTTGGAAGCAGGTGATATCTGCATAGTTGTTTAAACCACTTGTGCACACAAGTGGACTAACCATTTAGCATTTATACCGAATAGAATAGAAGCATTGTTTTGGGAAGCTTTGTGTCACCTAGAGGTCAAAAAGTTGCCCAATCTGGTAGTCTCCACATGTATTAGGATTGCAGCTTTCCTGACAGTATGGCCAACATACTTTTGGTTTTTATTTCTGATATTTTCTGAATGGCACTTGATTGTAGGTGCTATTCTATATTACAATAGCTCTGTTTTTCAGTACTTTTCTTTTTTACAGAAACAGGAAAGGTGGGGTTTCCTGCATTTAAAAAGTGATTTCCTCCACTTAAAACATAGCTTGTCAAATATTTCTTTGTGCCAAACCTGTCAATTTTGAAATGTGGTGCTAGGGAGAAAAAGTGCTATTCAGACTTTAACTTAATTTTATTTAAAGGCTGGGCAAAAGTAAAAACCTTTATAAGTAGTCCTGGTTTAGTGACTACAGTTGGTACCAGCAACTTGGTTGTTAAGCAAAGCTAAATGAAATCACAACTGTGCTTGTGGTCATACTTTAACTTTCATTTGCTTTATAAATTATGACCTGCGTAGGTCATAAATGTGAGGATTTAGGTTTAAGTTAAATTTAAGTTATTTTGTTGTGAGTGTTATAATTGCACTCACTAAACCAGGATTACCTGTATTCCAGGGGTGGGTTCTTCTTATCTTTACTACCGGTTTGCATCGCGCCTGTGTGCACGCGCTCACTTCGCTCACGCGTGTGCACCTATGATGTTCGGATCAGTGGGCGGAGCCTCCAGCCAGTTTTACTACTGGTTCTTGCAAACAGGTCCGAACCGGGGGCAACCCACCACTGCTGTATTCCATTCAAAAATGTTAACATGACATTATACAAATGACACAGGTTAATCACTTCCTCTATCTCAAGTGGTATATATATTTATTGCCTGCCATCTGCCAAAAGAGTGTGAGATTTCTGATGTTCTTTGTGAAGCCAAATTTCCATTTAATTTCTAGTGTGGCTTTAATGTTGTGGATTAAAGCATTAACTTTCCGTTGTTCATAGATGTCAGAATATTTTTTATTAATTAAGGATACATGTTTTTTTGCATGTTTTTCAAAGGTTGATTAAGAGCTGCTGTTACAAAGATTAATTCAAAATTATGAACTAGATGGCAGAAATTAGCTGACATTGGATGATCTTAAGAAAAAAAAAAGCAACTAATCAGGTCAAACCAGATGAGCACATGGGAGATTGCCAGAAAACTGCAAAACTCTAAGCTAGACAGGGCATTAAAAATATTCTGGAAATATTTCAGAAAGGAAAATAATGACAAACCACTTCCATACTGTTATCCATAACATGTGGAAAACAACATGAGAGAGTTCTTTCCTTTGATTTTTTTCTTCTGATTTTTTTTAAAAAGCTATAAACTCATCAAACTCGTGAACATGAACATGTATATTACAATGTTTTTTTAAATGCATAATGTACAATTAAATATAGCATTATTATTAATAAAATTAATGAACAACAACTTCCTACCTGCATTTGCTGATTTCCTTTATGATTGTCTTTGGTTTCCAAAAGGAACTTTGCATAATTTTAAAACTGCCATAAGCATTTTAGAGAGTTAAAGTACCACATCAAATAGGAGATTTTTAAGATCATGAAAATTAAACTAGATTTAACTCTTTAAGTTATTGTGAATATATTTTATACCCAGGAGAAATGTTTGTGAGAAATCTTGGACCAAGATTATTGTACTGATTTGGATATGTTCACCTTTCACTTGGCTAGGGAAGGAATGCTACATTGCTCTAACATATGAACAAAACTTTTCTTCACTTTTTCTCTTTTGTAACAGTTGGTCAGCCTGTTGCTGATTGGAATTGCAGCTTGGGGCATTGGCTTTGGCCTCATCTCCAGTTTCCGGGTCGTTGGAGTAGCAGTGGCAGTTGGAATCTTTCTGTTCCTGATTGCTCTGGTGGGACTGATTGGGGCCATCAAACACCATCAGGTCTTGCTTTTCTTCGTATCCTTTGACTTGAAAGTAATCTAACATATTTCGCCTATTTCTCTGTAGCTCCTTTGAATAACACCTTCACAGTTTCTTCTACTTCATTGCAGGTTAATTAAATTGAAGGCAGTATTTTGTTGAAATCATCTAAAGTACAGGAAAATAAAACTTTAAAAAAAAAAATTTCTATCTTGTTACGACACTAAAAGTTAGATAGTAACATCTTTCTCCAGTGGTATAACTGGTTTCTTTCAAATGGCTGCAGATTAAATCTTGAGTTTGTTTGTTTATTGAGCTCCCAGAGTTTCCAGAGAGAAAACTATTCAATTTCATTGTAAACATGTTGTGCATTAATAATAAAGGTTTGATTTTGATTTTTTTTAACTATTTGGAAAGCCAATTAATAAGAGGCCACTGGAGTTGAATTGCTAATACATAAATAAATAAAATACTGGTCAATTTAATGGAAAAGAAGCATTGACTTTAGATAGTCTTAGACACTAAATCTTTTTTTAAAGATAAAAGTGGAAAAAGTGCTCACTGCTCACTATAACATTATTGTATTAGGTTACACAATTGTTTTTGTTTTTTAATACATCTCTTGGAGGCAAACAGTAGTTTTTAAAACATATATGGATGATTTAAAACTCCGGCATAAGAAAGATCATGTGGACCTATGATCTTTTTAATTTTTTAATACCTAACTTGTCCATGAATCTTAAATAACAGATAGTATTTGACATATGACCACAATTGGAACCATCGTAATCCATAGTAAGTTGGGGTATAAACATGTTTTCTCTAATTGATATTGTTGGAAACTGTTTGGAAAGGTTGCAGATTGCAATCATGTGACCTCAAGAAGCAGCAGCCAGTCATAAATGTGAGCCAGTTGCCAAGTTCCCAAATTGCAACCATGTGACTATAGGCGTGTTTGTGTACAACAGTCATAAGTACTCGTTATAAATCACTTTTTTCAAGGCTATTGCAATTTTGTACCAACATTAACAAATTGTTGTAAAGTGAGGGTTACCTGTAAGGAAAAGAGGAGATAGATCAGTGTGTAAATATTCATGTATCTTATGTTATTTTTTGACTGCAGAATATTTTATGCAAATTAAACTACATTAAGTTCAGAAAGAGGTACAATGATTCAGTGGTTAAAGACACTGAGCTTGTTGGTTGGAGAACAGACAGTCCAAGAATGAGACTCAAGATCTGTGCAATGGGTGAGCCCCCATTACTTGCCCCAGCTCCTGCCCATCTAGCAGTTCGAAAGCATGCAAATGCAAGTAATTTAATAGGTACCACTTATTGGAAAGGTGGGAAGGTAACAGCATTCCATGCACCTTTGGCATATAGCCATACTAGCCACATGACCATGGAAATTGTCCTTGGACAATGCTGGCTCCCTCAGGCAAGAAATGGAAATGAGCATCATGCCCTAGAGTTGGACACGACTGACAGGGAGATCTTTACCTTTACCAGAAGTTCAGAAGGAAAGCTTGTACAAAAGGTGCCAGATGTTTACTACACGGCAGCTAAAATTACTTCACATTCCAGCAAATTCTAACAACATCTCCTCTTACTATATGTGAGTATAGCATGCCTCACTTTTATTTTACATGCAAATTCAGGTATTTCAATTGTTACATTAAGAAATAATCTAATTAGGATTATTCAAGGGGTGTAAGGCAAAGAAGGAGCTGATGATTCAAGAAGAAGGCCCAGAGTCAGGTTGAAAAATAGCAACTGCAACAAAGCTGAAATGATTTGGAGGCTGCATATAAAATGCTGCGGGATTGCAGGTAGCTGACATGACAACCAATATCCCATTGGTTGATGGAACAAGTGGAAATTTTGGCATAATCATAATCCAAAATGTGCTCCATCATGTAATCTCTCTATTCAATTGGGCTTCCTTTGAATCAGATCAAATTAGCTTAGCCTTTTAAATTTGTATCTACATTTTATCTATGTGTATGTGTGGCATGCTGCCCAGAATCACTTGGTTGAGTTGGGTGGCATACAAGTCAAACAAACAAATAAAATGAATGAATGATCAAACAAACAAACAAACAAACAGATGTGTATTTATTTCTGCAAATGTGGTTTTGATGACTTTAACTAAACTATTTCAGTATATGATTATACTCTTGCTAGTGTTTGTTATACAGTTCTCCGTCTCATGTGCTTGTCTGACATTGAATAAAGAACAGCAGGTAAGACATTTCTTATGATATCTTTATTTAAAATATATTATTATGTGGATACAATTAGATCCACAATAAAAGACTGGTGAAAATTTAATAATGCAAGTCCTAACCTAGGACCTAAAAATTATTGAAGTATGTATGCAAGCAGTCCCAAACAGGGTTTTATTTATTGATTTGTAATGTCAAAATGTTGAGGCATTATTATTATCAAAGAGCCATTATATTTATCAGTAGGATCATAAAGAAGATATTCATAGTCAAAATTGTGATGGGCCCACTGAAGAACATTTGCTTGTTAATTAAAAAAAGTAACAGTTACAAAATGTAGTATGTGTTCCCCCAGTAGATGGAGAAAACACAGCAGTTAAGCCTCAGTTGAAGAGAAGACAGAGGATACGGTGTATATTTCATTAGGTTAAGACAATAGTGCTGTAAATGGTTATCCAGCAATTTTAACTCCGATTCCCAGTTCAAGATACTTAGGCCCAGAAGTATTTCAAAGCTAAAAAAGGGTAAGAAGGATTTATGCTAAAAAAAAAAGACCAAAGACTGTAAAGACTCTTACTGTATATATAAAAGATAGAACTTGTAACAACTCGAGACATTCTAGAAAAGAAATTGCTGGCTGAAGGGCTGAAACAAAAAAAGTTCTATAGCAATACTGCTATAAAAATTCATGATACATTTTATGGATTGGCTCCATTGAAGCTGGTTGTTGACAGTCATGGTTGAAGTCTAGAATCTAGCAGTATACTGCTGTTCAAGTTGGAGTTAACTTATTCTTTTCTTCTTAATTTTTTTTTCCTGATAAAAAATAATAAATGAGAAGGTTAGTCCTGGAACTGATCCCCTCTCTCATAAATACTGTAACATTAAGTACTACTACTGTTAATCCATTTTGTGAAACCTTGGTTGATTCAGTTAGCCAAAAATAAAACAAAAGGAAAAGGACAAATAACAAAATAGAGAAATCAATTATCTGTTGCTTGAAGTCTTTTCACCTTAATGTTACAGAAATATCAGTTAAATAGATATACAAACAACTTTAATTTAGCTGCAGGTTACACAGACTTTTGAATAGCATCTTTTAACACATTTAAGGTAATCCCAGTCTCTTCAAATCCATAGTTTATGGGTGGGTGTAAACCAGCATGCTGGCTAAAGAATTATGAGAGCTGAAGTCCATACACCTTAAAGTTCCCACATTTGAAAAACTCTGATTTAAAATAAGCCTATGAGCAAACAGGAACCAAAATGCAGATATTTCCCCTCATTTCCCCCTATATGGCAAAAGAAATGAAGCAACAGCAATGTAAGCACTTTTTTGTGAACAAGCAAAAATGGGAGAGAGGAAGATTGCAGAATGCATCTAAGATGCATTCTGCAATCTAAAATATTATAAATATTAAGAAACGGTGGAAGTTTTTACATACGAAAAAAATACTGATACTAACCACTAATGACAAACAAATTCAAGACAGTGAAAGCTTTAAAACTATGAGCAAAATAAGAAAATGAAATTAATAATTAAAATACTGGAAAATGATTTTGTTTGCATTGGCGGTTCAGATATAATCAGCAAACCAGAGTCTTTATGCAGAAGTTTATATCAAACTAACAGCAAAGTTTGGTTCTTGGCTACTACATAATTTCCTTGTGTTTATAGAGCAAACTTCTAGAGGTTGGGTGGAACAACACAAACAATGCAAGGCAGGATATTCAGCGGAATCTAAACTGTTGTGGCTTCCATAATGTCAGTGATGATACCTCTTGTTCTGCTGTAAGTTGACCTTTTTTATGTTCTGTTTTAGAAGAACTTCGTTACCATATATTTACTTTGCTTGTCTGTCTTGGATGTGTAATGTTCTGTCTTTGAAATCCATAATCCATTCCTTGCATTTGATTACAATATATACAGTTATAGATTTTTTGGAAAAAATACATTAATTTGAAAAGTTGCATCCAAATCTTCTTGTTTCAAGATCTGTCCAAGAAACAGAATTCATGAGCACTATGGCAGTCCTGAACTTAGTATAGCTTATTGGGGGTCCATTTGACAGAAGAAGTCACATCCCTAGATATGCTTTTCATCTTGGTAAGGTGACAATGTGGTTGGATGATATTAATTTATTCCTTGCCATGGTCCTGCAGGGATCTGGATTTTCCTACCGGTTCTGTAAGACGTGGCTTGGTGGGACATGGCTTGGTGGGGTCATGTGACTGGGTGGTTGTGGCTTTTGACGGGGGGTTATAAGACAGAAAATCACTTTAACAATTTCTTTCAAGGTATCCTCTGAAGCTGCGTCTAGGGTTGTGGTCCGTCCTTTCTCTACTTTTTCCCTCCCTCCCTCCCTCCTTTTTCTCTTTCTTTCTTCCTTCCTTTCTTCCTTCCTTCCTTCCTTCCTTTCTTTCTTTCTTTCTTTCTTTCTTTCTTTCTTTCTTCTTTCACAGACCCCCCCCCGCCCATTTTTGGCGTAGCAGGCTTCAGGGAAGCCTCCTGGGACCAAAAACAGACCCCGAATAGGTAGTAAAAAAATGCTTTAAAAGGTAAAAAAAAGGTTCTGAAGATTGCGTGGCACAGCTGATTGTCACAGCTGATTGTTGGGACCTTTTTAAAAAACCCCTGGTTCATTCATGAGTTCTGGAAGATGAAACAATATAAGAGATACTTAGAGTGTTGCTAAGACAAAATGTTAATAAGACAAAAAGCAAATCTGATAGGCCACAAGTGAAATTATGTATTAATTATTTATTATGTATTTTCTTACAATAAGATGTTGAAGTGTAGTAGCACTTACCTGGACAATGTTGGTATGCAATTTGGAAATTGCATCTGTTTCTTAACTGGGAGGGCCTGCTGAACTTATTCATGTCTTAGACACTTCTAATTCAACTACTGCTCCATGGCACTACCCTTGTTGACTACTTGGAAGTTTCAACTGGTCCAGAATGCAGCCTGTTCATAATTCTGAATGCTCTGAGATTTGCCCATGTTACACCATTGTGGTGCTGCACTAACACTTCTCTCTCAGGTGCAATCCAAAGACTTCATGGCACAGGTCAGCTTATTTGCAAATAATTTAAATAAATAAATTTGCAAGACTGTCTTTTGACAAGGGCATCTACCAGTGCCACCAAATCTGATGGATGAACAGAAGGCCCAACCTTTGTCAGCAGTGTCTTTTGGCATAACCTTGGGGGAATGCTTTATCTGTTGAGGTGCCTGCTTTTCAGAACAGGCTCTCCCTTGAGACCTAGATGGCCCCTTTTCTCTTGACTCTTCTCCTAGACTATGAGCCCGGATGTAACATGAAACCAAACTATGGACAATTAGTACAAGTTTTTTTTTTTTAGTATCACCTGGTTAAGCTGTGATGGTCTTTAATTTGGTAGGAGTGAGTATTTGTAATATGTTGGTTTGATTATTGTTAGCTGCCCAGTGTTATATTATGTAGGGAGGGCTACAGTTATTTTAAATAGCATATATATCTGTACATGTAGCTATAGATAACATCCTAATAATGAATTGAAATAATGATTGCAGGAATGTTTTGAAACACAGACCTGTAAACCCTGTGCACCTATAATTAAGGAATATTCTGGAATGGTCTTGAGATTTGTAGGAGGCATTGGTCTCTTCTTTAGTTTCACAGAGGTAAGTGCAAAATCAGTCTAAACCTTTGTGTATGTTTGTGTGATTTGGAGAACTTTCCAATATAATTTTTTTCTATAAAGATATTATAGTTGATATGGAGAAGCATTGTTCTCTACTATAAAAGTAAAAATATTTTTATTTCTTAGCAAGATAATATACAAATTATCTCAATGTCAGGTAAAGTTAATATCCTATGCAGTTACTTAAAGGAGTGAATGTCATTGAATTAACTGTTTATTATTTATGTACAGGTAGCATACATTGTAGCATTGTCAGTTATAGCTTATTCCTGGTAATTACACAAACAGCCCATTTTATTTTCAAGGACTGTGTACACTTCCAAAATAATCAGGAAAAAGTGCCTTAAAGTAACCATGTCTTTTTTCATATCTCCTCATCATCTTGAAAAAAAATAGTGTGTGTGCATATATATATATATAAAATAAAAGTCTGTCTTTTGTGCAGAAATCTAAAAAGCAACTTCAGTGAACTTCAGTGAACTTCAATGAACAGCAGTGAGCTCCAAATAACTTTTTCTGAATCAATTTTTAAACAAAACCTTTTGTTAGAAAAAAGCAAAAATGCAAAGATAAAATGATGCAGTCTTGTTTTTATAACAGGTAGTCCTCACTTACTAGCTGCAATTGGAATTCCGTCATTAAGCAATACAGTTGTGAGATGGGAAAAACCACATGACCATGCCTGATTTATGATGGTGGTTTGTCAGTTCAAGCTGTGGTTGTTAAGCAAATTACCACAGGTTATTAAGTGTGAAGCGCAACACTTTGCTTCTCAGAAAATAACTATGAATGTTGCAAAATGGCAATCACATGACTGCAGGATGCTACTCCTCCCATAATTGCCTAGTGATTGCCAAGAACTCAAACTGCAATTATGTAATTGTGGTAACATTACAATATGTGCAACATTGAGGACTGATCATAAGTATCCTTGTTCAGCACTGTTGTAACTTTGAATAGTTATGAACAGTCATTACATAAGGACTACCTGTATTGATGAAATAAAATACATAAAGATATGTACACATAGAAAGATAAAGTATAATAAAAATTTTGTTCTATGTATAAAATGATATCCCAAGTTACTCCAAGTTCAGGAATATCAGGAAAAATAAAAGTTCAATTTCATAGGTTATTCTAAAGATGAAAATTCGTATATTATTTACTCATAGATATTATTCCTTCATATATGAATATATGATGAGTCAGAAGCATTGGGTATAGAGAATGTTTATAAATGAAGTGATGGACTGCTGAAAGATATTGCAATATATTATGAAGTTTTAGCAGATGCTTTCTTTCTTTTCTTCCTTCAGATCTTAGGAGTGTGGCTGACTTACAGATACCGGAATCAGAAAGATCCACGTGCAAATCCTAGTGCATTTCTTTGACCTGGAAATGTTTTCAGGGACTTTTTTTTCTCTGTAGTTTTAAAAAGCTGAATTCTCCACTGATCTGTCTACTCTCCATGTTAATTGGGGGCGTGTGCCTTTGAGATGAGAAAACAGATCTAGAACTGCTTTTCATCCTATTTTCTAGTGTTCTTTGAAGGAACTAGTCTGAAGTGCTTGTTGTCAATTGTATAACTAAACAGAATATGAATTCTGTAGGAATGTAGTAATCCAATAGAATTAGTCATGTTATTCTTCTCTCAATGGGTTAGTGTTACTTTTATTTAAGGAAGGATTTATTTGAACTTATAAACAGAGTTGGGCCGGTTCACACCAGTTTGGGCAAACCGGTACTTAAGATTATGTGCAGTTCACCGAACCGGCAAATGCCACCACAGCCTGGCCCCTCCCCTCCCCTCCCTTTCACTCCTTATCACACCTCATCTGCCTTGGGCGATTACTAGATTCACACCCCCAGCAGAGCTGCTGCTGCTCTCTGTTTCCCTCACTTGCCTCGACCATGCAGCCTAGCTGATCTCTGCCTTGTGAGTCTTCCTTCACTTCTCGCTTAACTACCTCCTACGTTGGCCCCGCCATGCTTGCCTGCCTTCCCCTCTCTTCCAGCTTGCTGGTTTGGGCATTGGGAGCTTGAGGGATAGATTGTGCATCCTGAAGTCCATCTGCTGCTGCTTCAAGGCCAGCTCTGGCTGCAGTTGACTATCGGCCAATTTTTTTCAGCACTTGTGCGGGGAACCCGGGAGTGGCAGCCTATTGCATGCTTTTCACTTCAAGCAGCCTGGGCTGGAAAATGCATGGCTGGGTACAGCAGCCCTCCTTAACAAGCTCCAAACCGTTGCTGCTGCTCCAAGCCTGGGTTCCCCCCACAAGTGCTGGAAGTCCAGTACTACTTCCCTACCCAGTCAGCCCATGCTCTCCTCTTGCTCCAGGCACCCATTCCTCTAGCACAACCCCCTCCCCCCAAAATTTTTAAGCATTAGAGCCACTGGGAAGAAAGGCGTACTGATCTCTGTCTCTTTCTAGGACCGGCCTTGGAAAAGCCTGCCCTCACAATCAGACTCCCTTTCTCCCAGCACTCGTGTGAGAACCCAAAATTTTTAAGAATTAGAGCCATGGGGAGGAAAGGCACACTGAGGTTACCGGCAGGCTTGTTAAGATGTGCAATATGCTGCCACTAAGCTCCAGAGTTCCTCGCATGAGTGCTGGAAGAAAGGGAGTCCCAATTGTGAGGGCTTTTCTAAGGCCAGTCCAGAAGGCAGCGGCAGCACACTGGCTGCCTTTTCTCTTGCCAGGCAAACTTTGAGGCAGTTCCCTAAAGGTAATGATGCTGTGGCAGCAAGGGGGGTGGTGAGGGTGGGTAGTGATGCCGAAGCCTAAGTGTGCCGGAGCACACAAGGGGGCAGCAGTGGACACTACATTGTCTGTGGAGCTAGCAGGAGCAGCAGCACACAAAAATGCCGCCACCTTTTCCCTCTCCGCTGCTGGACGATCCTGTGTGAAGAAGGGAATGGCAGCTTTAGCAAAGGAATAAAAACTGATTTTGCTGCTTCCCCTTGGCTAACGCCCAGCGAGGGAGAAGTTGCTCTGCCATAAATGGGCAGAGACAGGCAGCGAGAGTTGTGCCCAAGTAATGCTCCTGTGCCGATAAAACCTTCCCTTCCCCTGCAGAAAGACTGTGTGTGTGTGTGCGCGCGCACACACACACACAAGTTGGATCTTTCATTCGTCCTGCCTCCCCCCACTTAAGAACCCTGGATTCCCTCCCCAAACCTGCCAATCCCATACAGGCACCACTCACACAAGTGACCAAGTAGAGTTGGCCATACCCACTCAGTCACATGACATCCATCCAGCAATGCCCACCCAGAACCTGTTGTTAAATTATTTGCAGCCCACCACTGCTTATAATGTATTCCATTTGTCAGAATTTCTTTCCTTGATCTATTTCTTCCTCCTTTTTTGAAAGACTAATTTATTGGCTTCAGTGTGTTTCATTTGAAATATGTTAAAGAAATTATGCTTTTGTTTCTGATACTGGTATTAGTTTGGAAGAAACCCCCTCAAATAAACCCCCTCAAAAAACAATTGAAAACTCATCATTTTTAATGATTGGAGGTTATACTATCAACTCCTCTCCATTTTTTGTATCCGTTTAAGATATAAATGCAAATCAGTTCAGTGTTGTCCATTAATTTCAGTATTGGCTATATAAATAGTGATTCTGTTTCAGCCCAAGAACAGATTATGTCTAAATCTCTTGATTTACCTCAACTCTAAAAGAGATAACCAGGGGTGGTTGGATATTATCTAACATAATAATTTTCAGAAGATTAACTATCAGGTTTTTTTGTGTCCAATATATGAACACAGTAAGAAAGAGAGATGCATTTTCACAGTATACTGAATTTATACAAATGGTGTAACTTAAAATGATAAATGGGGGAGCATAGTGTGTAGTTGGCTAGTCATGGTAAGACATTTGATGCTAGGTGGTTTTTGGGAAGGGGCAATTCGTTTTTATCAGTGTAATACATTAACCGTGGTACTGATATGGGTCTTACATTTAATTGTTTGTTCATTGATATATGAAATGTCTGACCACAAATGTGTACTAGACTATTGTAAATGATATCTTTGTAGTTCTTCTCTTTATTTAAAAATAAAAGTTTTAAAGAATTACATTTAAAATTCAGTTTCAGGCATGTATCATATAACTTAGCTCTTGTTGAACTGCCAAAGCATTTGTAGTATTTCTATTAACATTATATAAATGCAGATTGTTCAAGCATATTAAATATATTAATTTTAAAAGGATAATTGGAGGAAGCCTGTAGAGAGCAGAAAGCTTAAAAGAAATGTAAGTAATAATGACTTACACTCTGTGGGAAAAACAGAATGTCAAGAAGACGCAGTTCTGGAAAATAAAGATAGTGTAGGAAACCAGTTACTGTTCTTCAAGCGGATTATTAGGCTTGAATTTCAGAAATCCAGATGGCCATTAGAGAGCAGTCAAGTATTAAGTTTTGTCTCATCCCTTTAGTAACATCTTGGAATTATCTTATTCTTGTAGCCATAATATGAAGTTTTTATTATCTCTGGGGAGTTGGAAATGAATGAAACGAATTGAATGAAATGAATTGAAAATATCTGAAAGCCCACATATTGGAATAGAGTATCACAAGACTTCATTGAAAGATAAAACTTTCCATGAAGTGGTATGGACATCTAATTGGAACTGAGGTCTATGGATGCAGATCTTAGGCTACAGTTCAATACCTATTCATGAGCTGGGAGTAAACTTTATTCTTGTGGAGCTAATAGTTGAGGAGCACAAGAATATCAATCCACAATTTAGCTACTATCTAAATATACTTTAAAATTCAGTAAGAAGACTTTTCTATGTCTCATGTTGTTCTTCCTCTGGAATTTCCTGAAGTCTAAACACGGTTTGTCCTTGAATAAGGAATCACACAAAAATTAGTTGCATTTAAAACATATCTCCTGTGGTCCTGATTTTGATTCAAGTTGCTCTTGTATTCTTCCTATTCCTTGCCTTTTCTTTTTACAGTGATGACACTCACATTCTTCTTAATTGCAGTTCTCTATCAAAGAGGAACTTAGCCTTAACTATGAGTAAAGATGTTTGTGAATATTCACCATGTTGATATGATTGATAGGATGCCCTTCTCAATGTAGTGAGTGTGGGCAGCTGGCAGTTTATAAAATGTGCCAAGAATGTAACAGAAAAGCAAAAATTGTAATTTAAAAATCTGTAGCTAAGAAAAACAAATATGTTAAATATAATAACTAAATGTACATCAACAGTACAATCCAACTGAGGTTTCTAAAAGCCCATCTGGAAAAATGGAATAAAATACTTTATTTGGTCAAGTGTGATTAGACACACAAAGAATCTGTCTCTGATGCAGAAACGCTCAGTGTACATGCAAAGCAATAGAATCATCATCATCATATCACCCCAATAAGGGAGTGGTAAATAAGATAATAGGGATAATAATATTGTACTACTACAGCCTGTGGCTAAATATTCACAGACATTAGACAGTATTGTGAGAATTGGGTTCAGCAGAAGCATGAAGAAAAAAAACTGACTGTCAGTTGTTTTGGCATGCAATATCCTATAATGGCATCCCAAAGGAAGAGTTGAAATGGTTTACGTCCAGATGGATCTATAGAGATTTTCTCAGTCCTCTCTCTGATTCTTGCAATATACAGATTGTCTATGGAAAGCAGGCTGGTTGTAATTGTTCTTTCTGCAGTCCTAACTATTCATTGGAGTCTGTACCTATCCTGTTTGGTTGCTGTACTAAACAAGACAGTTAAAGAAGTACAAGTGACAGACTCAGTAATTCCTCTGTAAAACTGTATCAATAGCTCTTGGGCAGTTTGAACTTCCTGAGTTGATACAGGAATAATATTCTTTGTTGTGCCTTTTTAATATGGTTCTAATGTTACGTGTCCACTTCAAGGGGAAATTACAGAATCCAAAAACTTGAAGATTATACTGCTGATACTATATTGTTGAATAAGAGGTGGTAGAACAGAAGGGCTTCTCCTAAAATCTATTCCCATCTCTAGTTTTAAGCATATTCAGCTCCAGATTGTTCTGGTTGCAGCACTATATGCAGACTTGTCACTGTCTAGAATGAGGCCAGTGGCTGTTGTATCTGTAAACTTCAGTACTTTAACAGATGGATCCCTAGAAATGCAGTCATTGGTATAGAGAGAGAAGGGAAAGGGAGGGAGGGAGGGAAGGAAGGAAGGAAGGAAGGAAGGAAGGAAGGAAGGAAGGAAAAATAAAAAACATACCAAACTTAACACAGCAGGCTCAACTAACAAATAAATGCTTGAGGAAAGAAACAGATTTTAAAGACCCTACAGAAAGCTGAATGGGTGGGCTATCTGAATCCAGGAGCAGGGGAAAATGTTTCGGAGATACCAACATGCAAGAGAAGATAGGTCTCCTGAATCCGACTAAATGGCATGATTTCACAGATTGATTAAGTGACAACAATTAGATTGGCAACCACAGATTTTTCCAGGAGGATCTGTCCTCAGCCAGCTTTTTCAAGACTTTCACTGGTACACCATTGCTATATAATTGACCATCTACCTTTTTGCTGGTATCCTATCATCTTCCACAGCATTACAGATTTCTCCAGAAAGCTAGACCTTATCATAATATGTCTAAAGTAGGACAATTTGAACCTGGTAATTTGTGTCTCTAGTGAAAATTCTGTGTTTATTTCTTCAGTGATCAATTTGTTTATTTAGCTTTCATGCTACTCTAAAGTTTTCTCCAATACCAAGTTTCAAAAGTATCAGTACTATTTCAATCCCTATGCTACTGGATCTGGTGGAATCTTGCCTTCAAAAGTTGTGGGTGCTCCATCATTGGAGATTTTAAAAGAGATTGGACAACAATTTGAGATAGTATAGGTTTTTATCCATGAGAGGGTGTTGGACTAGAAGGACCAAAATTCCTTCCAACTGTGTTGTCCTGTCCTGTCCTGTCCTTCCCTGTTCTGTTCTGTTGTCCTGTCCTATTTTGTCCTGTCCTGGTGAGACAAGCAGAACAGCTAAGAAAAGAAGATCCTGCAAAATACCTGGCTCTGTGTCATTTAGGACTTGAAGGTGATAACCACTATTTGAATCACACCCAGATGTCTATTGGAAGCCAGTGTAGCTTGTGAAGCAATTGTATTTCATTGCTATGCCAGGCAGGGTAAATAGAAAACTACAAATACTCATGGGTTGTTTTTGGAATGGCAGCAGCCACTTGTAACAACTGACCTACTAGCATTTTCAATTTGTTTGGAGGCATAAAACCCTGATTTTGACCCAGAAGTGGCACGAAAGCTGGCAAGCAGGTTCGCCTGATCTCCCAGTTGCGTCCCTTTCTGGATCGGGACGCCCTGCGCACAGTCATGCCCTCGTCACTTCCCAGCTGGACTATTGTAATGCTCTCTACATGGGGCTCCCCTTGAGGAGCTCCCGGAGGCTCCAGCTGGTCCAGAATGCAGCCGCGCAAGTAATGGGGTGACTCGTTGCTCCCATGTAACACCCATCTTGTGCGAGCTGCACTGGCTCCTGGTGGTCTTTCTGGTGCGCTTCAAGGTGTTGGTTACCACCTTTAAAGCGCTCCATGGCTTAGGACCTGGTTATCTACAGGACCGCATTCTGCCACCGATTGCCTCCCACCGACCAATACGCTCCCACAGAGAGGGCCTCCTCAGGGTGCAGTCAGCCAAACAGTGTAGGCTGGCGACCCCCAGGGGGAGAGTCTTCTCTGTGGGGACCCCGGCCTTATGGAATGAACTGCCCCCGGACATACGAAGGATCCCCGACCTCCATGCCTTCTGTTGCGCTCTGAAGACCCTATTATTCCAGAAAGCTGCACTGACAGGATAAAGGTTTTTTAAATTGGGTTTTGATAGGAGTTTTAAAATGATCTTAGTTGGATGTTTTAAATTTGGCTGAATGATTGAATTATTTTAACAAGCTTTTAATTTTTGTTGTTGTTTTTACCATGGCTGTTCACCGCCCTGAGTCCCTCGGGAGAAGGGCGGTATACAGATATAATTAACTAACTAACTAACTAACAAAGTGCGAGTTTCCTCCCTGCCTATTTGTGTTGCTAATTTTCTTTCAGGATATCTGTGAATGAAACGGCAAAGGAGTAATAGAAATGGAACTGCAAGAGAGGTTCCATTTTGCATTATTATTTTCCTAGAGAACTTATGTTTTTCATTCATCTTCACCATTCCACAGTCAATATTCACTAATCATGGCAAATAGTTATAATTGGGAGCCTGGGAGCCAAAAGTGTTCTGCTTCAGCATAATGTTCCACACAACTTTGAGTCTACTGTCATATGTCATACTTCACAATATATTATATCTAGAATGTTAAACCAGTATATATTATGTGATTTATTCAGCATGCTGAGCTAAAATATGTATGAACCTTTTATGTACATAAAAATACTTTTGTTTCTGTATTTTTGGCAAGCTATGACTTTGCCAGTAGACTGACAAATTTCATTTGTGTATTATTTGATTTATATGCCGCCCTTCTCCGGAGACTCAGGGCGGCTTACAATGCGTTAAGCAATAGCCTTCATACTTTTTATATATTTTATACAAAGTCAGCTTATTGCCCCCACAAACTGGGTCCTCATTTCACCTACCTTAGAAAGGATGGAAGGCTGAGTCAACCTTGAGCCTTGGAGAGATTTGAACCAGCAGTAATTGCAGGCAGCTGTGTTAATAACAGGGTGCTTAGACCACTGTACTATCAAGGCTCTTCTTAATTGGAATTATTAATTGGAAGATTGCTATTCTGCCTGAATCCCATGATTGTGGAAAGGCAATTTCCAGCATTAATACTTAAACGCGTTAGGCTAATATTTAATAGATGACCATACTTCAATTACAGGGTTTTTGCTTATACATTTCAGTGTGTAATATAAATAGCAAGTCAACCATTAACTATTCAAAAGATTTTAGGTAAATTGAGACTGAAACACTGAGGCAACGGCTTCACAGATGGAAAATACCTGTTTCAATTCACTTATTTATTTAAATTCATGCATCTATTCCTCATAATGGTTTGCAAAATGGTTTGCAAAAAGCAGTCAAAGCACAATTTTTGGTACATTGGATTGATAGGCATTGATTTTTATATTTTCACATCAAAACTTTTCTCACCCAGATTGAAGACACCAACAATGATCCAAGTACACTTTGGCATTTATAATTTTATACATTTTCTTATTTTCATTGTCATCTCTTTCAGATATTTTACCTGTGTATTGCTTTTGACTAAGAAACTTACAGGTGGATGTTTAAAAAATGACAGTGAGAGACTCTTTTTTGGTAAAGATGTAATCTGGATTTATTTTTAAATCATGATTTAGCATACGTTAGTATTATTTTATAAATGAATATTTATAACATAGTTTTGGTATTAAAAAGTAGCATATTAGCAAACCATACCCTATGCAAATCCAAAGTCCAGGCTGCTTTCATTTGGGGGAGAAAACTAAGCATATTTGGACTGTCAGGTGCAGAAGATCTGAGATTAGGTCACTTTTCTTTCTTCACAATTCTGTCTTTAGCAGAATCAGAGCTTTCTGCATATTTGAATACACTAGGAATAAAGAACTTGGAGTCATTATTTTTTAAGGAAACAAAACATGTGCTATTAAACAATTTTATAGCTTGAATTATTTGAATTAAACAAGCTGCAAAAATAAAAACCACACCTTAAATTGACTTAAAATAGCATGACCATTCACAGCATGTTTATTGTAGAAAACAGATTCATAATTTGGTTAAATTGGATTGTATTCATTTTGATGAACTACTCTTAATTTATCTCAAATGCAAATGTTTTATCTAGGAATGATTTGTCACTTGCATACTGTGGTAGAGAGCTAAAGAAAGGGTAGTTCAGAGATTCCTAAAGTCCAGCGCCACTTGCATGGACAATTGGGCATCTTTATTTATTCTTCAGATTTATATCCCTCTATTATTTTGTAGTCAAGGGACTATATATTCCTCTTCCTATATTGTCCACAACACGGTGGATTGGGCTGAAAGAGTGAACTGGCCCAAAGTTACCCAACCACCTTCTCTGACTAATGGAAGAACAGAATGTCTCAGTTTCTAATCCAGTTCTTTAACCACTACACCAAACTGGCACTTGTTTCTGGTATGACACGATGGCAGCTCAGAAACTTTATCCAACTCCCAAAATGGGGAATGGCCACAATTCCACAATGGCCAGTGTACACTCAAGATGCCATACAAGGTCTAATAGGGGCCATGATCCACAGAAGTTGCCTATCACCAATGCTGGCCAATCACCAGTGCCTGCCAATTCGTATCATACAGAGTCACACATAAATGTTCAACATGGCTAAACTCTCAGGATAAAACCTTTCAGCTGGCTTTCACTTACAACACATGAAAGGAAATGGTGTCAAATAAATGGATGTTTTTTGGTGATAAATTCTAATGGTATATTCAAATATTTGCTTATAGCATAAGTCACTGGATTTTCCTTTGTTAAATCTTCTGAAAGCTGTGAAATGAAAGACAAATTACTCACACAGTAGAATATCTTGAGGCTCATAAGCATAGAGACGGTTGGAATATCTTCCAGTAATATCCGCTCTAATAGTCAGTGAAGGATCTAGAGACAAGGGAAGATAGAATTAGTCTGTAAAGCTAGTCGTTCATATTTTTCCTATCATCAACATCTGAAGTACAAATTCCTAATTAGAGCTAGGTTATGAACTTGTGTATATTGAGGAATATGATGTCAAATCATTCAGATGATACCAGACTGGGGAAAGACTTTGCAAATGATATCACCTGTATGTGATTCTTTTTTCTAGTTTTTTCACATTCATACTGAATAGTAAACAAATTTTGTTTGCACAATAAATATTTGTTGAGACTATTTTTATTAGCTAGATACCAGTTTTTCAAGTAAATATTTTCAACTTCTAAAGACTCACCTATAAACAAAATTCTGGGCACATATTGACCATCTGGTGAAAGATGTTTATCTGTAGTTTCATACTAGAATTAAGGGGAAAAAAAGATATTGATATTCCTATCTCATTTAAGCTCAAATCTCTGTATCTCTTTCTCATTCCAACCATTAAATATAGTTAAAAGATTTGATAGAGAAGGACAAGGTACAACTATTGCATTGTTGCACAAAATTCACAGAAGTATAATTTCAAGATATTCTCCATATTCTTCAACCAACTTCAGCTACCATAATCCTCCAGCCAGTATAACTGACAGTACAACTGGAGAAAGTTGAGATTGTCACATCACGTTTTGATCATATTTTCCTATAAGTATACATGTAAGAAACAATATTACTCAAAATACATATTGTGAATTACTATAAGACTGAATATATTTATTAATATACTCTATGAATTGTTAACTCAGAAAATCAATGCAAATTATGTACTTGCAAATTTTATAATAATAGCTTTCATTTTCTCAAATTATTTGCAGCTCATTTTCATTTTGGTAAAATGCCTTGTGTAAAATTATATCCAGATATAATAATTCAAACATCATCTGAAAACTTACTATAATATTAAGAAGAACAAAGCTTGCTGCCATTTTCTGTATTTCTTTGTGTTCAGCAAATGCCTTCTTCAGCGCTAAAACAGAGCAATAATTAGAAAAGCTATTTTTTAAAAAAAAATAGAAAAAATGTTATATATCAATTGATAGTACAAATCAGGCCAAACTTGTAAACTATATTAATGCCTGGTATATCTCAATATAAAATGAAAAAGTAATACTGTAGAGGAGAACCAATTTTGTAGTGGTTTAGACATCAGGCTATAAATTGGAAGACTGAGTTCTAGACTTACATTAGGCACAAAGCTAGTTGGTCACCTTGGGTCAGTCTTAGCCCTAGGAAGTAGGCAATGGCAAGCCATTTCTGAAATCTTGCAAAGCAAACTGCAGGGACTAGTTCAGTCAAAAACTGACTCAAAATCACACACACACGATATTATAAAAATGAAGCATAAAAATGATTTAAAGAAAAATACTTAAAACTATCACAATAATTGTGTTTGGATTTTAAAACTTGGATTTCTTTTATATACACATGAATGGGATTAACATTGTTCTTTACAAATCATAACACTTCATTTCTAATTACCATGGCTGCTACAAAACCTTTTATTCAAATTAGTTATGTCTTTCATCTTTTAATTACTAAGTTAAAACAGGTTGCTTTTTCAGGTGATTCAGGTGAAAAAAACCTGATGGGAGGAAGTAATTAATTTTGATAGATGGGATGCAAATTTCAGTTGTTAAAACAACAGTACCTTGACTATGAGGACATTCTTCTAAGTGGTGGATGATCATTATAGGCTTGTTGCTGTAAAAGAAAAAGTGGTCCATAACACAACTTTAGTTATCTAACTTCTCTAATTAAACATGTCCCACTGTATTGGCCTTCAATTTCCATCAGTGTAGTTGGCATAGCCAATGGATTATATTGATGGGGGAGATGAGAATTAGAATGTGTCTGGAAGGGATCTAAAATCTGTGCTTAGTTTTTATCAAACATAGTGCTGAAATAAATTTTTCCTAAATTTCTTCTGCAAAAGATCTTTCTGCATTTCTATCTCATTCCCATAATGCTTTAGAATTTCTTTAGCATTTCTTCTGTGGTTTTGTGAGATGATTTTACTGTTAAAAAAAAAAGGTAAGTTCTATAGTGTTGCTTAATCAGTCTGTCTATTAGTGTGAAGTCTATTTCCTGTTGCTTTGTGATCCATAGAAGTCTGCAAGATGAATTTCCTCATGTTGTAATTTTCTTGGATTTAATTGGAATATGGAAACTCGGGAAAGCTGAAAACTGCTGTAATGGTGATTATATTGTGAAAGAAAGGAAGAAAGAATGAAAGGTTAGGGCAAGATCATATGGCAACCCCACCCATAAGAATTTCCCTAAATTGTTCTTATCTTTCAGGGTGGAAAAAATGAAAGCAAATTCTTTTTCATAAGATCGAAAGAGCATAAACAAAGAAAGAGGCAGTGATATAATGGTAATGTGCAGTATCATTTGTTGAGATATACTAAAAGAAATTGAAATATTTTATTTTACTGGATATACTGAAAATATGAAAATTTTGGAAGTCAAATTATTTTTCATAAATCAATGAGTAGGTCTTGCAGAAGGGATTACTTTACCTTGTTTTGGATTTAAAAAGAGCTTCTTCATAAGTCTGAGTCCAGATTAGTAGATCACCCCAGCCTGAAGATAAATGACAAATGGAATTTAGTTTAAGTATGTCATTGTTGAAAAAAATCATAAATATATAACTTCATTCAAATCTGAACAAATATCATAGTAGCTCTACTACATAATACATTTCTTAATCCAAGCATTTCCCCATGTTTTAAGGAACTATTTTTGATGTTATGGGTTAACAGCAAGCATTTCTTTGAATTCATTTATTAATGTGAATTCAGAAGCTTATAAACATAGAGTGAATTATTAGCTTCTAATAATTATTATCTCTAAAGACTGTTAATCCCCCCCCAGACTGATATATGATTAACACTTGAATTCATTTTTTTAAAGGAAGCTGTTGTGCAATATCTACTTTTCTTTGACATTCTGGGAATTGACACATCTTGAAGTTATAAAGATAGGCAAACACTGCCTTGGATCACACACTCCAGTTCCTACCAGCTCTAGCCAATATAGCAAATTATTCAATTAATTCAAACCATTAATTTAATGGAACTAACTTTCAAATAAATATATATAAATAGCTATATATTCCTCAGATCATTATTCCATTAGTCATTAGATCCTTGGAATGGCTTTATATCCATTTTACATTGTCCACACTGAGACACAAGATTCTTTTCATGTTGTAGATCAGTATTTCTCAACTTCAGCAACTTTAAGATATGTAGACTAGGGAATTCTGGGAACTGAAGTCCACATATTTTAAAGTTGCCAAGGTTGAAAAACAATGTTGTAAACTATCTATCCCCTGATCTAACATTTGTTAGGCATGCTGGATTTTTAAAAATTGATTATAAATTACATAATATTCTGTCTGTTGAAAATTATTTGAAGGAAAATAACTGATAAATAATTTTAGAAATTATGTTGCTTCTTAAAAATAAACAGGTCTGATTAACAACTGAGATGATTGGTATAAAATACACAGCCTTACCTCTTGAAAGAGTCTGTGGAAGTTTAGGATGGGTCTCTTTGGGGTCTTTGGGGTCTTTTCTTCCATCTTTAGTAGTAGTTTCTTTAGCCAGTGTATTCAAGACAGCAAGAACCAAAATCAGGATGGAGGCTATGTTTTTTTCCATTGTGAAAGCTAAGGAGTGAAGAAAGCATTAGTCTGGATATACTTGAAAAGCAATGGGACAAAATACTACAAGAAAAGAACAATAGTAACAAAACATAAGAAAGAAAAGATGATTTAAATCTCATGTACTGGTATAGAACTTCTCTATTTAGAGAGGAATTGACTACCTAGGCAAATTTACAACAAATTTAAGTTCAGCTGAGCACTGCTGAACTTAATGAATTTCCTCCCAAGTTTCCTTCCTTCCTTCCTTCCTTCCTTCCTTCCTTCCTTCCTTCCTTCCTTCCTTCCTTCCTTGTGCCTATTGGGGAATAGAATTTGAAAGCTGCAAAAGAGTACTCACAATTAGTGAGTACTCGAACTTGAACTATAGATTGGATTCATGCATCACTCTAAACTGAGATCCACTCTAAGATAAGTTTCCTTAATCATTTATTAAATGTTGAGTTCACTAGTTATACTAAACTAAAAACAAAATGCATTGTGGCTTAGTATGATGTATACTAAGAGTTGCAAAAATCTGAACAAACATTGGATAGCAGCAACGAAGTATAGAAAAAAAACTAGATATTTACAGATTTTTTACTTATTTATTTTTATTAGTCATATTTCTATGCCGCCCACTCTCCAAGGACTCTGGGCTGCTTGCACCAAAGACAGTACACTAAATAGCATATTGCCCCCAACAATCTGGGTCCTCATTTTACCCACCTCGGAAGGATGGAAGGCTGAGTCAACCTTGAGCTGGTGAGATTTGATCCGCTGATCTGCTGAACTAGCAGTCAGCTGAAGTAGCTGCAGTACTGGACTCTAACCACTGCGCCACCTCAGCTCTTTATCTGTCAGATAAATGTACAATGTCTATAAATGTAGATTTATCTCCCAGATAAATGTACTTTGATATTACCGCTTGAAATCTATGTAGTAAATCTTATATACACTTTAAACAAGAATGTAAAAGTCAGGGTTTTTGTATTCAATGTATTTCTACTGTAGAATCCACAATAATATTCATTATAAGCTTTACAGGAAGAAGTCATGTACAGTGAATGAAAATCCTTTTTAAAGATATAAAACTTCCATTTTGTACAACACAGAAGCCATTCCCTTTCAAGTGCAGCCTTAAAAGAAATTAAATGGATTTGTCCTTGCCAAACAGGAAATCAAAGCACGGTAAAGGAAAGACTGTTGGCAGACTAGAAAGAGAAAGCAAATAACTGAAAATAATGTATCTTGGCTGTAAAAATATGTTGTGTACTTGCAAAGCTCTGTTTAAAATGGATTTTTTTTCCTGTCAAAAAGAATGTCAGGATTATTTAAATATCATAGCTCTACTTGTTACCATTGTTTATTATTAAGTAACTTGACTCACAAACATAAAAGATTTTTAATAGGACCTTTGCTACGCAAGCAGCAATAACCTTACCTTTCCTGCCCTCTTGCTTCTTAGAGCAACAGCTGAAGAGATTTCAATTTCAGTGTGAACAAGAAAGGTGTGGAATGCCTATTTATATACCTGGGTGCACCTGATCCCACCCACAAGGTTGGTATTTGAATCCTGCTCTTATAAGAAAAAGTTAAAAAGAAAAGTAGGAAAGTATTAGCAAGGAATTTTTCAAATAATGTTGTGCCATTTTGTGCTTCAGTTTATTGAACAATTATAATAGAAAACTAAAATGTTGAGTTTATGTGATTTGTTCAACAAACATACTTGGCACCAGGCCAAATCTAGTACAGTAAGTGTAAATGGAGACTTCCAATTTGACCAAAGGCTGATTTGTCCATATCTGATTGGAGCAACCTTTATGCCAAGGCAAAGGCCTATAATTTTTTTGAAAATATGAAGCTGATTATTTGATTCTGGTACAAACCAGAATGGACCTTATTATCTGTATGTTATTACCTGGAATAAGGTTGTTCCATAACTAAAAACCAGTTTAGTGTAGTGATTAAGTGCTGGCCTAGTAACTAGAAAACTGACGAAAGCCTGCCTTAGGAATGAAAGCTGGCTGGGTGACCTTGGACCAGTACATTTAAAAATTATTCTCGCTCAGCTTCATTTCACAGGCTTATTGTTTCTGGGAAAAGAGTAAAAAGAGTATTCAGTATGTTCACTTTAAAAAGTAAGATAAAAATTTAATAATAATTATAACTAACAGATGTCAAACTAAATACTTTCAAAGGAGATGTTCTAGATTAAGCAAGATGGTGAAGTGTCATTACATTTTTGCCATTACAAACATACAAGCTATCTATGCAAAAGTTGCATATGTGCTCTGATGTTGTTTGCTTCCATATGTCTTTGTTCCTTTTGTACAATACCATTACAAAATAGTCACACTGGTATTTCGTTATGGTAAACCTCTGCTGCGATTTGTTCCTAGCAAGCTTTTTTGATCATGTTAGGATCACCACTATTCTTTTGCCATTCTATTTATTTTTCATTGCAACTAATTAGATTAGTGCTTAATCAGCTTTCCCTTTAGTTGTTCATTTGTCCATGTGTGTTTTAGATCCATGTCCCTCCTAGTTGTATAAGGCCTTCAGGGATATGGTTGGATACATACAGTGGTGAACATTTCTTTTGTGTGAAAGAGTGAATCTAGCCACTTTGTTGTTCACAGTCTTCTCAAGAAGCTATTACTCTAGGACAGGGATCTGCAACCTTAAACACTCAAAGAGCCTTTGGATCCGTTTCCCACAGAAAAGAAAACACCGGGAGCCACAAAACCTGGATGGGCGTGGCCAACTCCACATTACTCACTTCCACCAGTCACATGACTCCCTCTCTGTATTTTTCTATGTCTCTCTCTTTCCCCTTCTCTCTGTATCTCTCTGTCTCTGCCCCAGCTGCTTCTCCATCACCTACTGTCGCCCTTATCTTTTCAGGCCAGGGGAGGAGTGACTGGGAGAGGAAGGCGAGGGCAGGCCCAGCCAGTGGTGGGATCACCCAACAGCAAAGGGCCCGAAGAGCCGCCTGCAGCTCTGGAGCCACAGGTTCAAGGGTGAAATCCAGCAGGTTCTGACAAGTTCTGGAGAACCGGTAGTGGAAAGTTTGAGCAGTTCGGAGAACCAGTAGCGGAAATTTTGAGTAATTTAGAGAACCAGCAAATACCACCTCTGGCTGGCCTCAAAGTGGGGAGGGAATGGGGATTTTGCAGTATCCTTCCCCTGCCATGCCCACCAAGCCACACCTCGCCCATGAAGCCATGCCCACAGAACCGGTAGTAAAAAAAAATTGGACTGCACCACTGCACAAGTTGCTGACACCTGCTCTAGGACAATCTCAACAACTCAAAGATGTATGAACTTCAATTCTTACAATTGTTCAGCCAGCTATTGTTCTACTGCTGCTGGGAGGTTTGTTGAGAAAATGATCAGCTTATAGCTCCAAAAGAAATTGATTATTTTAGCCCTTTTCAATTTGGACTAGGCCATGTCATAGCCCTGAGACAGTATTTAATTCATTTGATATCTGCTAGGCTCTGTATGACTGTAGTACATCCATTCCTACACTCCTTAATTTTTTAGCAATACCTTCATGACCTCCTGAACTGGCTCAGGGGTTTGGAAATGGAAGACTTTTGTGATTCTTTTCTTTTTTCCTGTCCAGTTCCAAGTGTTCTTTGTAAGTGTGAGAGATTGACCCCCCACTTTGTGGGGTGCTTCTTTACTCTTTCCTTACTTCTGTTGTATATGATGAAGCTACTATCATCTGTCAATATCACCCATTCCTGTATTTTTGTCCTGGACTGATCAAATTATGCTATTAAGTTTCCCACTCCCTACATTTCCTGGAGCTTGTGTGAGTTTGGATGGGAGACAAGAGGCAATACCATAACTTGATCTATCTCTTTTGCTATAAGGTGGTTTGATGAATGGCTCTTGTTGATAAAATATAAAAAAAGGAAAGGAAAGGTAAATTGTCATCCAGTTTGATATAAAAAGCAGCCCCTCAGTTAAACTGTGTTAAATTGTTTCACAACATGCTAAATTCTGCTGAATTTATACATGGTGTACTGAACACAATATTCTTAATTGACACAGCACAACCAATCAGCTTTCTACCCAACCAACCAAGTTTGTGATTTTATTTATTTGTATCTCACCTTTATTATTTTTTATAAGTAACTCAAGGCAGCAACCATATCCAACAAATCTTCCTCTTTTTATTTTCTCCACAACAATACTGTGAAGTGGGTTGGGCTGAGAGAAATCCAGCTGTCTGTACAGGATTTAAAAGTATGGTATCTTGATTTATAGCCTGGTGCCTTAACTACTAGACAATTGGCTCTCATATTCAAATATATACAGTGGAATAGAAGAAATAAAGTGTTCTATATATGTACATCACTAGACCATTTTGGAATTTATTTTGCATATTTATATAGATTTTAAACTATATAGACCTATATAGATTTTAAACTGTTAAAATAAGTTCCTGTTTATTGGATAGCTATGTCACTTTTCAGGAAAAAAATTGGTGAGTTATTAGAGATGTGGCATTCAAAATGCAGCATTAATTCATATGGTATAACTATATTTAGTTGTTCCCTTTTCAACAGAATCCAGTTCATCTAATATGTTTTATTCTGGAAGAATAAATAGTTTTGTAGATGCTCATGCTGTTTTGAATGCCAATTGTTTGGAATTAACAGCAGAACAATAGAATAGATATTCATAATAAATGAATGATGGTTAAATATTAATAAAATCAAGATTGCTTATTTGTGTGTATATTTATTTTTAAAAAAGAAAAACACAAAGTCAAATAATGTGCCTGAGAAATATGTTTGACTTATCAATATACTTCATTGTAGTTGAAAGTTTCCTCTTCGTTTCCTCACAGTGTGGTATTAGCAATATGCATTTTTCTGTCATGGCACTATATTCTGCACTGTGACATAGCCATATACCATGAATGTGATGAAGGATGGGGTTGGAAATTACATTGGATAGTTGTGGGTCCATCTTTGTCCAATCATGCTGAAGGATAATATACACATACATACATATAAAATACATATCTTTTGGAATGGATATTTGATACATAGATAGATGCTTATTGCAATTTGGTAATGTACCAAAGGTGCTTTTCAAAAGGCAACTGGACTTTCTTAGTCCAGTTAATCAACTTAAGCAACCATGACCTGAATGATTGAGAATCTCCATAGACACAATTTGGTAATATATCAGCTTTTCCCAATCTAAAAATGTTTCTTCTGGGAATATAACCAATTAAAAAGCATGAGTAGTGGACTTGCTAAACAAATTATTGTATTTGTAATTTAACATGTTAAGAGAAAACCAAATTAGAAGTCTGGAGAGCCAAGGTTTTTCAGATCCTTGTTGCACAGGGTATGTTTATGAGCACAGAAGATTTGCACATAGAATCTATTTAGATGAAGCTACTCTTTACTGGAATCAAGGAGTCTGGAACTAGGACATTGGTTCTGTTCCAAACTTTTCTTCTTTAGTCAGTGAATGTAGATGTTCACGAATTCCATGTAGCAACTTGTTTTATTCCTTAAATTCAGTATTGAGGTCATTTAAGGGCACAGCTGATATATTCCTTTTATTTAATATAACTTTAATAATTCTAGTTAAAGGTTAATGTTAATTTGATCAATATTCACAAGCAATTAAACATTTGTCATATTTACTTTATCCACTCCAGAAATTTCATTTGATGATGTGTACATAATTTCAATAGCAAATCCTGTTGTGTATAGCTCTGACGATGCATTATTTTTGCTGTACTATCACTGTATGTCCTAGCCCTAAAGATAAATAATGACACATACTTTATTAAGTATTAAGTCTAGTCATCTTTCTGAGCTTACCTGTTTATCTCATTACCTGTGATAGATGAGATTGTCCTATGTTGTATTTTAATATAGACATGCATTTTCTCTCAAGATGAAGGATTTTTGTAAGGTGGGAATTTAAAATTTCTCAAGATTTGGACCTACTTGTGATTTTGCCTTTTTTCTGAAAATGTGGATTACAGAATTTTAATACACTCCCTACAACTACAACATTTTCTGTTTTTCTCCAGTTATCAGCACAATTTGGTTATTCTTCAAAGTTTCCATAATGTGAATTCTGTTACCAGCAAGTTTTGATGTTCTCTTTATTCTAATTGTTGAAATTATCTGCCTTCGTCCCATATTCATATTTATATGGACAATGAAACTTCAAGCGGGAAAGCTATATGTGATTTGCATACTAGATGTGATACAGGAGAAAATCCTCTTGTGTGTCAGATAAAAAAAGGTTCTGCCAGGTGGAACATCTTCAAAAGGATCTCTCCTGCAGATCTTAACATCTCATCAGGTTTCCAAAGGGAGAGGAAGTCAATTAAATAGGCCTGAATTTAATTGGGACAGAAATTAATGGAAGAAAACACACCAGAGAACAAATCTCTTCAGTTAACTACAGTTAAGAAGAAACATTAACCTAACTTTTGAATTAGAGAAGAGCTAATCCTAAAACTTCCTCCAGAGGTTCTGGGTACTCCAACACCAGAGATTTTAAAGAACAGATTGGACAATGATTTGTCTGAAATGGGATATGATTTCTTGCTTGAGCAGAGGGCTGGATTGGAAGGGTCCCTTCCAAGTCTGTTATTCTTTCTTGCTTTTTTTTCCTCTTTATATTTTAGTTTGGAATATTTTCTTCTTCTTAGCTAGGGCATAGCTAAAATATGTACAACTGATTTGAATCCAGACTTCAATATACTTTGAATAAACCTGTTGAAATAAAAAGGGCATTAACTTATTTATAATATGTGTAACCTCTAATTATTTTAATGGAATGTTTAAGTATGATGGAGTCTACATGGGGGAAGACAATGGTAAATACCTCCCATATTTTGCCAAGAGAACCACATTGACAAATCTTATAAAGTGATGGATCACATGGTACTGGATGATGTGTAGCCCAGGAGCAGATGGGCATTCAATATGCTATTGAGAAAGAGCAAAGGAACTTTTAAAATGGAACTAATTTAAAACATTTTGAATGTATGGCAACTGGTGTTACCATGCAGAAAAATAAAAACTGAAGGCACAAATCCAGACTCACTCTGGCAACATGGCTTGTAAAAAGCACGGACATGGGAAAACTCAACATGTATGAAATCAATTGGTTAAACACTGACAAATAATGAACTGAAATGCATTGGGATTGGTCACTTTCAGTCAAAAGATCACACTTTTTGCTATTTAAATCACACACAAAAATAAAGAAGGAACAATGTTAGTTTTGTATCCAGAAGAATGGGAAGACAATGTTTTGATACAATGAAATAACATGAATTTCACTTCATCATATGTTTATTACTAGGAGGAGGAGATGGTGGAGGAGGAGAAGGAAGAGGAGATTTTCTAATCAAGTTTAATATGAAATTGACAGAACACGTAAGAAATATGAACTACTTGTGGCTGGATGCTGGAATGCCACATGAACATCATTAGATGGAGTACACAGCAATCAATTTAACTACATTATTGGTACAAGGAGATGTAAGAACTCAGTTATGACTATCATTAAGTGTTATACCTTATGATTCTTGATGAATGTATCTTTTCTTTTATGTACACTGGAGCATATGCACCAAGACAAATTCCTTATGTGTCCAATCACACTTGACCAATAAAGAATTCTATTCTATTCTATTCTATTCTATTCTATTCTATTCTATTCTATTCTATTCTATTCTATTCTATTCTATTCTACTTACTCTACTCTATTCTACTCTACTCTACTCCTACTCTACTCTACTCTACTCTACTCTACTCTACTCTACTTTGTTCTTATAACAATAAAGATGTGGCCAGGGTAGAACTGTGGAACACATTGCAAATTGCTTATTTGGAGTAGACTACAAACTGATTATTTACAAGTTCCAAGTTGAAGAAGAAAGCCAACAGTTTCCATGATATAACTTTATGTATATCCATCATTTTCAAGAAAATAATCAGATTGCTTTGAAATCCTGAATCTCATTGACAGGAAATTAGAGAAACTGTGAATGAAGTAAAAGAAGTTGTTAAGGATGAATGTGAAAAGAGACTTCCAAAGATGAAAAAATAGAATATTAGACTGAAAACACCATATTGCACATCAGCAAATAATTAAAATTGCTAAGAAGAGAAACCAAATCCAATGAGAACAAATATCTCTCAGAATCTCAACAAAGAATTTCATAGAATGTTAAATTCTGTGAAAGAAGAAACATTATAACAACATTTACTATTTCAAATATAGAAAAGACTTCCAAAAGAGCTCTGAAGTCAGAATGAAGTTCTAAATTCAAATTGGTATCTAAAGATTGCCAATGAATGGATGGTATTTGATTCAAAAATCAAACAAAAATGGAAGGAGTATAATGAAATTATCTACAATAGAGATGCTAATATCTAAGATACCCTAGGGCAGGAGTGTCAAACTTGCAACCCACAGGCTGGATGCATCACACCTGGCCACCCCCACCCCCATTTTAGCGAAGGGGCAAAAAGTCATGGTACATCACATGATGACGTGACACTGCGAGTTTGATACCCCTGCCCTAAGGGATATTCCCGACTTAAAAGAATCTCTAATACTATAATATGAAGCTATATGAGCATTCTAATCAAAATGTAAGGCTATGGAACTGATGGAACACTAATTGAAATATAACAATAAACAGAAGAATCAGTTAAGGTTCTAATCTAACTATGTCAACAAATCTGAAGAACAATATATTGGCCAACAGGTTAGAAGAGACCAGTCTATGTATCAATATCAAAGAAAGGAGACTTAACAGACAGTGCAATCTATTGTTCAATTTGTTAATTTCACATGCAACATGCAACAAAATAATACACAGAATCATCCTGTGTTTAACAGTCCTACTGGCAAAGGAGACTTGTTAGAACAAACTCAGTCAAAAATATGGGATGGAGCAGTGGGAAATACTTCTTAATACATTCCAGTTTTTGAAACTAACTTGGGCTTCCTATTTGTCTTTTCCCTTAGGACAAAATAAATTATTAACTTAAAATATCTCACCTTCTGAAAGTGTCTTGGGCAATGGAGTGTGCATAGAAACAAGACGTTGGCACAAATTTCCAGGATCAAAATTGTATTCAGTTCCTGCTCATTGCTTACTTACAAAACTGATTGAAAAAAACCTATTTCTTTGGTATTTCAACTGTGCTAAAATTACTTATGTATCATTGTAATCTCTGTACAGTATTAGAAGTCGAACATGGGATACCAGATAAGTTAACTACAAACCATATCAGTTCAGTGTGAATATATTACATTAAGAGATAAGCCAATTCATAATTCTTCAATTTGCCATTTCATAATCTTCCACAAAACAGTTGCAAAGGAGTGATTGCACTGTGAGTATGGCCTTCAATATCAACACATTGCTGCTACATATACTCTGTTTCCCCACAATAAGACTTTCCCTGATAATAAACCCAATCGGGCTTTTGAGTGCATGGCAATAAGGCCAAGCACTTATTTCAGGGTTCAAAAAAATATAAGACAGGGTCTTATTTTCGGGGAAACACTGCTTCTATAATATGAAGTTAGCAAGGGAGCTAATATTTTTTAAAGAAAATAAAGAAAAGGCTCTTCCCTTGTTACAATCTCAAAAATTACATGCATTGCTGCTGCTTTCATATTTTGTACATTATAACTGAAATTACCAACAAGCTCAAGAGTTACA